GGGGAACAGAACCTAAGACCTACTTCTCTGCTTATTGTCATGGAACACAACACGTGGGAGGCACAAAAATATACCATACTGCTCACTGAGACCAAGAAGTGGGAAGGATAAAAAGAGAGCAATGGGTGGAATGAAAATAATACTAAAAAAATAAATAAATTATCCTTGTGATAAATGACTGAGGTTTGGGGGCTGTTTGTTACTGAGGCATAAATCCACTCCGAGTGGGTTCAACAGCCTCTCAGTACTGACTGTCTCCTGCAAGGCAAGGACTTCACAGAGCTGACAGACAATCCTGAAGATTACTCAATCAAGCTCAGAGTCATCACTCGCTGAACAGGCAAGGAAACTGGAATGCAGCGGTAGAGGTGAAGGCCACACAGCTGACAAGTGGGAGAACTGGGATTCGAGCTCGAGTAGTGTGGTCCCAAAGCCAAACTCATGAGCCAGGAACAATGTCACTCCTGTGATCCCAGCACATGGAGAGCTGAGGCAGGAGAATGGAGAGTTTGAAGGCAACCTGGACTTCATAGCAAGACCCTCTTTCAAAAGCAAATGGACAAAGTCAAGCTCATAACAACTCTAAGAGTCAACTTCTGCAAGGTGCCACATAGGATTCCAGAACCCTTTTGGGACCCAGACATCTGTCACTTCAGGGTCTTGTGCTCAAGGATAATCAATTCCTGATGCCAGAGTCCCCAAAGACAATGAGCCCATCCCTCAGTCCTAAAGCCCATGAAAACACCCCAAACCCAGCCTGGGCCTCTTCTGGTGGCCCTTGACAGTTCTTCATACCCATGTGTGTCTATGCACTGAAAGAATATTTATTGAGTATCTACTTTGTGCCTGGTCCTATTATGCGTGTATCTAGGGATTAGCAGGGAGCAGAGGCCACTGGGGCTTACTGCCCTGAGCTGGAGAAATCATGAATACTCAGAATCAACACATGGCTTACACAGCACATTGAGAGGCTAAACACAAAGGGAAGGAAAACAGTGAGCTGGCGAGGGGATTCCACTCAAGTCAGTCAAACTGGACTTTTAGAATGAAATTACAGAAAGATGGACAGTGGTAAAAGGGAGGGAGGGAGTCAAGATGGCACCAGCTTGGAGCATCTACACTGCCCAGCAGCCAGTACAAGCTCCGCACGTGGGAGTGTGCAGGTGTCGCCTTGGTCAGCAATGGGACATCAAGGTGGGCAGAGAAGGCAGGGGAAGAGAGTAGAGGCCAGAAAGATGATGGGAGGCAAAGCCCTCCCACAGATGGCACTGCGATTACCCTCCCCAGAGAGGAAGCCAACAGCTGTCCCCAGGCTTATCTGATGCTGCGGTTGAAGGAGCAGGCGAGGGCAAGCGAGAGGACTGCCTCGCTAGCACATCTGAAGAACCTCATCCCCTCGAGGCAGCTGGCATCCGCCTGGCCTGTGGCTTCCTCTGTGGCTTCCGCATTACAGGGTACTCTGGTGGCTGCTATTTTTGCCCCTGTTTAGGGTCCTATGGCACATTCTTCTGTGGGGGGCACTGAAGGCTAATGTGAGTGACCTCTCTTCAAGTTTTCTCTGCTTGGAGCAAATGGAAGGGGTCACTTAAATGTCCCAAGTGTCCTAGGGGAATAATTACACCCAGGGAGCAGGTATGACACATGTCATCTTGTTGATCCTCATGACACTGCAAGCTCAAGAGAGGTTAGGCTACACAGCCACATCAAACCACAAACTGGGGGTTCTGAGGGGCTCTGTCTATGGGGCCTGACTTACTATTGCAGGGTATTCTCTTCATGTCGCGTCTATGCAAGTGCGTCCCAAGCAGAAACTCCCAGCAGGTAGGAAGATAAAGGTGCATCACCCATGGGTGGGGTCCTCCAGAGCCTCACAGTGATCCTCCAGGGACCACGACATTCATGGAGGGACAATCAGAGGGGGCTTTGGCAAAGCCTTGATGTCCGGGCCAGCTCTGCAGATTAGCGGGAGCTGGAGGTCTAAAGGAGCCCTACCATGGACACAGGGGACTGAAGATTTAAGAAGAAGGAGGCAGAGCAGCCTGGCTGGGGAAGAAGCTTTAGGGGATGACAGACAGGATCCTGGAGGAAGCAGGAACCCCAGAGTGTGGAAGTGGATGAGCCCCAGGCAGGCAGGAGAGGCTTTGAGACGGACACAGTGGTGTGGAGGAGGAGCCAGCCGCTGCCAAGAGTCCATGAGAGGGCCAGACATACCAAGCAGTTCCCTGAGCTGGCTGCAGGGAGGGTAAATTCTAATGGGAAAGTTAGGACAGGAGGCTCCTGAAGTCACCCAGGTGGTGAATGATGGAGCTTTGACAGGACAGCCAGCAGCATGAACAGGTGGGCTACAGCAGCACGGAAAAGGGGTCGTGCTGTGTCCAGGTCTGCCTGTGTTTCCAGTGGGCAGTAACAGACAGTAAGATGGGTGAGAGAAGGCATAGCTCGGGTGAGTCAAGAAACGGCTGCCTCCAGCCTCGTTTCCTCTGGATGAGCCCTCCAAGGTGTTGGTGCACAGTCCATGCTCACACCCTTCATGAGCGGCCTCAGAGCCTCCCTGGCTCTTCAGAGATAAGGGAATGGCATGGATCTCCTAGCTAGAAAAAAGCCTTAACTCCCCTAATTGCTGCTCTGGTGATGAATTCAACAGACACTCGCCAGGGTGGGCATGTGGTGTGGTGGCCTCCCTGGAAAATGGCCTCCAGAGCCCAAGAGAGGCAGAAATTCACCCACCTGTGGTTTTTTCAGGTCCCTGTGGGGTTACAGAGGCAGCCTCCTACAACGGCATTCTGCCTCAGGGTCCAACCTCAGCAACAATAGGTCGGTCCCTAAAGAAGGCAACTGAGAGCGGCATTGGGACCCTGTGAGTCTCAGACAGGAAATTAATCTCTAGCCAGAGCCTACCCCAACACTCCCCCTCACACCAGTGAGTGCCAGCATAGTAGGACGGGAGCAGTTGGTGGGTCCAGCTGGCATTATTTCTCTAAGGAGCTCGCCCAGCGATGACACAATGACTAGAATCCTACTCCGGCCACCTTCCTTCTTCATCTAAGCCTTCAGTGGGAGCCTGCTTCCTGCCAGCTGCAGCAGACACGGCCCCATCCAAAGCTCCCTGGGTCCCTTTGCATATCTTGTCCCTTGTCATGCTCTTAACCTGCCATTCTGTAGGATCAGAGAGGTAAAGTAACCCGCTTGAGGTCACACAGTGATCCCATGTAAAGGAGACCTGCTCCAAGCCGGGTCCTAGATCTATGTTCCCTTTCTGTTCCTGGCGGAAGGAAGTCTGCATGAACTGAACATTCTCCCTTCCTAAAGTCATTCCACGTATCCATCCCAGACTCCCAACACACAGGTGACAATCAGCAGCGGGTGACTTAGCTGCCTGTCCCTGTAATACCAGGTCACCTACCAGTCTTCAGGAAACTGCAATAAGAGTTCCGCTAAGGGTCAATTCTGGTTCCAGGGAGCACCAAGTCCCATAGTGCCTTCCCTTCCCCATAGGGGAAGCCATGGGGGTGACCAGAGCAATTTCTCTCAGCCAGCTCTACACAGAGCACAGTGCCCCCCACTCTAGACACACATGGAGACTCTGGCCACACATGACTGCACCAGAGCATGTGCCCCACCGGGCATCCTGACCTCCTCCCCAGCTGAGCTGTCCTGGGCCATTCATCCATTCAGCATGGATGGAGACCCTTCTAGCTGCTAGGCCAAGTATGAGCAATGTGTACATGCCTGTGTGCATGCACACATCTGTGCACACACCGTCACAAAGAAGGTGCCAGTGCCCACTTTGCTGGTGTAGACACCGAGACTTGGGCAGCTTGGGGAGCCCTTGCTATGTCACAGACTACTTAGGGCAAAGCTTAGGATTTGAAAGTGGCCACTAACCCAGGCCCTATTGCTCGGCAGGCACCCATAGCTATTTCTGCCCTGGTCGGCTGGCTGTGAGACTTTCCCTGGGCAGTGCTGGGCCCAGTGTCTCAGACAATTCTTTGTGACTCTATGGGGACTAGGAAGGATGCTCTCAGAGGCATGACGGATGCTGGTTCCTGGTCTCTCTGTGCTCCCTTAATGTTCCACATGAGGGGACATGGCCTGAGCTGTCAGCTTACATTTCTGGGATTCACATGCATGAAACCAGATCCCCAACAATGACTGTGGGAAATGAGAGAGCCAGAAGGATCAGGCTTTCTGATCTAGGTATAGCACTGGCATTAGCAATGACCCCACCCCCACCCCCGGCCCCCGCCACTGCAACCCGCTCAGGGGCTGCTGGGAAATGCCACCAACAGGAGCCTCTTTAACCTGCTACACTGTGCATTTGCCCTTGGGGCCACGACTGTACTTCCCTTCCTTGCCACTGCCTCTCTTCTCCAAAAGGGTGGCCATGGAGATCCCAGCTGGTTTCCTGTATCCTTACTTGACAAGAGGAACGGTGGCCTTTTCTAAATGAGGGGAGAATTTTGATTGCTTCTTCAGTCCCCAGAATCTTGTTTCTGGTACCATCTCTAGCTGCAAATGCACCCCTTTCTCAGAAGACCCCCTCCCACCCTCCAGCCCAGTGTCTTCTGGGTCCTTCCATGTCATGGGTTGCCACCATCACTGTTCTCACTGTTTCTTGTCTAAGTCAGCAAAGCCCCCTTCCAATCCATCCTCACCCACAAACACCTACATCTGGCTAGGCCTGCTGTACGTGAGCTGAATGCAAGACACATGGATACATAAACATATGTATGAATGCATGAAGAAATGAATGCTTCCTGAGTGTCCTGGGCCTCAAGAGTGGTGGCTAACCCTATTCAGCAGATCAATGCCATCAGAATTCCTTATCAGAGAGGAAGAGCCATCGACAGGCCCTTGAACCCTGCACAGTATCCTCACTGCAGAGCATGGCAGGCACCAGTTCCTGCCTGGCCCCACCCAGGATCCAGCATCACCCATCTTGGCCCTCCAGAGCCAGCCTGAGTGCCTCCACCCCTGAAGCAGCGAGCTTCGCTGCTTACCTTCTGTAGAGACGCACCTGCAATGCACCAGTGTCTTGAGAGAAGGAGCCTGAGCCTCATTCCACAGAAGCCCAGGCAGCGAGAGAACGCGCCCGCGACAGCCTCTGAGAGATGCTGCTGCATAATCAGCAGAGAAAGAGAAAAAAATGCCAGAAATAGCAGCTTTATAAGCCCTCGCGACGACTCTTGGTCCTCTATTGGCTGGAGGCCCGGCACCCCCACCCCCCATCCCGCTCCTACAAGGTGAAACGGAAAAACCTGTTATTTAACCTCTTTGATCCAAATCCATCTTCTATCCCAATTTGGGCCCACATGTTTGGAGCACCACGCCAGGGCTCCGGGAGCAGAAGAGAAGGCAACCTTGCTCTCAGTCAGCCCTGGCTTCGGAGGCATGCTGCTTGGGAGAAGTCGCTGCACTGGAAGGCCCCTCAGAAGGCAAATTGGCAGCACCTGTCAAGGTGCAAATCTGCACACCTTTCATTCAGCAATTAGACTCCTGAGCACCCACTCTGTGGCAATACCTGCATCCCACACACAGGCGTGCTGGAGGAGGATGCTGCTCGTTACGCAAACCTGAGGCAGGATGAACATCTGAAGCCAGAGCTGACTGAATACATGCGACACATCCTTCTATGGACCAGGGGGTGTGGGGCCGTCTGCGGGTGCCAATTTGGAACTGGATGGGAGAGAAAGTCAAGGACATGCTCCTGTTTTTATGAAAGTAGGAACTCTGTGTGTGTGTGTGTGTGTATGTGTGTGTGTGTGTGTGTGTGTGTGTGTGTGTGTGTGTGCATGTGTTTGCCTATGCACACATGTTTATGTGTGTGGCGTGTATGCAGGTGTGCATGCATGCATTGGGTAGAAGCATTTGCATTTGGAGTTACATCGTCAAGGGCACCAGGCTGTTAGCTGTGGTAACCCACAGAGCAGGAGGAAGGGACTAGCTGCTACCGGTTTTTTTTCCCCCTTTTCTTTTGCACAGGCAAACGTTACATATGTAACAAAATACAAGCATGGGAATCTCCAAGGGGCCAATGCTACCCTTTACAAGGAAATGAGGCTTGGATCTGTATAGACCCCAGGCCCTACCCACTGCCTAGTAATCTTATTACCTTTCATGTAAACATAGCTAAGTTAGGGCTCCGTGAAGAATATAGACTCCAGAAGAAGGGGGGTGGGATCAAATTCTAGCTCTGCCAGCTGGGACAGCTGACTTCTCTGGGCCTCAGTTTCTCTATCTATAAAATGGGGAGAGTAGTACTAACTAGATGCCATGAACTGCACTTGGTGCTGTTACACAGATGGGGTGTTTGGGTGGGGGAGAGCATATCAGAGCAACAGAAACTGGGTGCTGTGCAAGCTAACAATGTTACCAGGCCTGAGAAAGAAGAGCTTTGTGGAATTCCACGAGTCAACACTGGCAACAATGATCAGCCAAGTGACAGACAAGAGCCAGGCCACAGAAGAGCCAGTGATAAAGGAGCCAGTGCCCAGGGTGAGGAGGAGGGGCTTCGGAGGAGGGGTAGAGATGAGCAGGGTCTAGCTTCTGTGACTCTGCCCCTTTCACCTGCTGCTCCCTCTGCCTGCCACACTCTTCTGCCCTCCAAGATCCACTCCAAGATCTCCCTTCCTGAGGGAGTCCCTCTGCTCTCTCCAGCACAGAGCCACATTCCCACAGCAGGCTTCTTCAGTTGTGCCAAGTATGTTTCTGTGTTTACTGTCTATCTTCCCCCACACTCTGATCTCCAAGATGCTTGGGACTCTCTGTCTTAGTCATCTCTAGATCCAGCTCCTAGACAAGGCCTGTTACCTGGTAGACACTCGAAACAGAGAACACACACAACAATAGGCCTAAGGTCAAAGCCACACACAATGAACTCATCTGAAGGAAAAGGAAGTGAGAACTATGATATAAAGACCAATAAAAATTTCATAGATGCACTGAGAATATTAAAGCATATTAAGGCTTAAGGGTAGCACAAGAAATTGTCAGGACTGGAGAGATGGCTAAGTGGTTAGGAGCACTGTCTGCTCTTCCAGAGGCCCCAGTTTCAATTCCCAGCACCCCCATGGTGGCTCACAAACATCTGTAACTGTAGTTCTAGACAATCTTGTGCCCTCTTCTGGCTGCCTTGGGTACTGCACATGCATGGTGCAGACATACATGCAGCCAAAACACCCATACACATAAAATAAAAATAAAAAAGAAGTCATCCATGAATATTTACATAAACTTAAGTTGGCAAAAACCTGTCTAGGCCCAAATTCATATATATAAGGATAGTTATCATATCATTATTTATAATAAAATTGAAATGATCATATAGTCCACAGATGCAGAATGGGTTTTTAAAACCATGAGTTTCTGTACAATAAAATGTTATGCAGTCAGGAAAAAAATAAACAGCATTTGTTGAAATGGAAAGGAGCATTGTTTCTTACTAAATAGCAGTAAACGTGCCCTTCACCAACCAGGGGTTCTGCTAAGTTTGATGTATGACTGTCCCAGAGAAAGGACAAAGGTAAAACTCCTCTCATCATTGTCCACCAGTCATTAACTCATTCATTCAATACATCCCCTGCTCTCTCTGCCCACCCACTATGCTGTGAAGGTCAAGGTTCCCAGGCTGAGGCAGGGAGTGAATAGGATACTGTTCATCCTTGCTTATATGTGTAGGTGCAAAATCTTGACTGCTCAAACTAAGGCCCTCGGGGTAATCCACGGAGTGAGGGCTTCAGCTGTCATTCAAGATGGGATACAGGGCTCTGGAGATAGCTTAGTTGGTGACATGATTGCTGAGAAAGTGTGAGTATGTGAATTAGATCCCTAGAAACCACCTGTCATAGCTGATTGCAAGCCTATGTGCTAGTAAGACCCACCTCCTCTCACTGGAGAGGCAGAGACAGGCAGATCCTGGGGCCCATGGGCCAGCCAGATTAATCTAATCAGTGAGTTTCACACCAATGAGAGGCCCTGTCTCAAAAAAAAAAAAAAAGGTAGATAGCACCTGGGAACAACACTTCAAGTTGTCCTCTATATATATGTGAATCGGGAGTAGAGTCAGTACACTCCTTGACTTGCAGAAATATACTGCAAGCTGAAAAAATCCTAAATCAAAACCCTACTGCAGATGCCACAGGCTCAGGCCACCTTAAACATGCTCAGGACACTTCCAGGTACTTACAGTTGGGTATCTCAGGTGAGACTGGCTGCTGTACTGAAAGTGGTCATTAGGATGGGTCCCCAGCCTCTCAGCACACATTGCTTTCATACCATCTTGCTGTGCTTTGTTTTGGTTTTGGCGTTGTTTTGAGACAGTCTCATTCTGCAGCCCAAGCTGGCCTCAAACTCACAGTTCTTCCTGACTTCACTTCTCAAGTGTTGGGATTATAGACAGGGCCCATCAATCCTGACTGCTTTTGCATAATTGTAAACAAAAGAAATCTTGGGTCTAATTGTCAAGGACAATCTGGTTAGAGAAAGTGGGTGCGTTTGAAGAGGCTGAGGTGTGTTGACCTAGGGTAATTTCAGCAAGTTCTTACACTCTTCTCTCAGTCCTGAAATCCCCTCCCGACACTCCATCTGCGAGGAATGGCATTGCTCTGTGGGGCTGAGGCCAAGATGAGGTCTTTGGACTGGGTTCTACCACCCTTGCTGGGAGGCAGGATTCTAGGTATGGTCCCACACACATGCAAAGGTGATTGTGAACTTTCCAGATTTACACACCTCAAAAGTGCCAGCAACAGGACTGGACAGGGCTGGGGTGAGTATCCTCCTACCACAGCAAGCTGGATGCAGAGGCTCCCTGACAAGGTGAACCGCAGAGGGTGGGTCAACTCCATTCCAGGCCCATTGCTCTCATCTTAGCATTGAACACATGACCAAGGCACCCAGGACAGGCTGGGAGAGCTGTGGCTGGCAAGGAACCAGGGCCTTGCACCTGGAGGCCCCCAGCTTTTTGTTTTAGATACTTGGTTCTCAGATTACTCAGCTGCTGGATGGTTAGGGTTCAAAACAGACACAGAGAGAGATGACTCAGCTTCCTGTAGAGGGGCTGTGGCCTGCTGGGAAGACATTTCCATTTCTGCCTTCCTCTCTAGAGCCCTAGAGACAGCTCACAGGAGCACGTGTGTGTGCCCGTGCGTGTGTGCATGTGTGTGGTGTGTCGGGGGTGGTGGGGAGGTCATTTCCAGAGTGAGGGCAAGAGACCATGGCCTGGCTCTGGGGCCAGTTCACCTGGGTTTGAATTTCTGGCCCTACACTGTCTTGTTCAGACTCCTCGCTGAGCCTTCACTCACTAATGTGAAAACAGGAATAATAGCCCCTTCCTGGGGCTAATGTGCACTGCAGGCGTTTCCCTATGGAAAGAGTCTGGTCTGGTGCCTGGTACAAAATAGGTGGTTCATTAATATCACTGTTGAGAATGATAGCCCTCATACAAGACTCTCCCTGACACCTGTGTGACACACGTCTCTGTCTTACAGACGAGGAAACTGAGGCTCAAAGCAGAATTGAATTTCTGCCTTCCCTTTCACAGGGATGCAGCACACAGCCAGGCCAGTCTACAGAGATTTCCCATGGCCCATTATGAACCAGTCGTGAGCGTACATGGGCCCTGCACTGTCTTTATCTACAAAATAGGGACATAAGGAGACAATCCGCAAAAACTTCAGGAAAGGCACTCGGGAGATGGCTGAGTCACTAAAGTGTTTACTTTGCAAACCTGAGGACCTGAGTTAACCAGATTCCCCAGAGTATGCGTGTGCGTGCGTGCATGCGCGCGCGCGCGCGCGCGCGCGCGCGCGCGCGCGCGCGCGCGCGCGCGCGCGCGCGCGCGCGCGCGCGCGCGCGCGCGCGCGCGCGCGCGCGCGCGCGCGCGCGCGCGCGCGCGCGCGCGCGCGCGCGCGCGCGCGCGCGCGCGCGCGCGCACACACACACACACACACAGAGAGAGAGAGAGAGAGAGAGAGGGAGAGAGAGAGAGAGAGAAATCCCACATAGGGTTAGGGAAATTTCAGCCATATCTCATGGCTTTTCCTCTGATCATAGGTCCAGAGTAGAACTCTCCCTGGATCTTGTCCCACAGAAAGACTCAGGAAAGCCCCCTGAAGGTCTAAAAAAA